TTCTAGGAATACTATATTATGGACTTCTTTCCAGTGATAGGCATTTTCATTCTGGTTATCGCTGAACAAACATTGGCCTATCAAGGACAGGCTTCAATTGAACCAAACCTTTTCTTTGGCTCAACTTCAGGCTGACATGAGTGCAATATATAAATGTTTAAAAAGTTTTATTTTCTAAATAAAAACTTGGTTCACCATTGATTTTTTCAGCTAGAAGTGGTTATTGTTTTTGGCAACTCCCAACCATGTACTGTGGGGCTAGGGTTGCCCTATGTTTATAGTGCACTGCGTATTTTGATAATGTAATTTGGGCATAATAGTTTGAGCGTTGGACTACAAGTGTGGAGAACAAACTTGAATTCTCACTCTGCAATGGAAATTGGGTAACCTGAGCAAGTCAGATAGCCTCAGAAAACTCTGTGATAGATTCACCTTAAGGTGTCACTATAAGTCAGAAATTATTTCAAAGCACACAGAAAGAACAACAAAATTTAGGGATTGGGAAGGAGTGTGTATTGGATCAAAGATATTTTCTATATATTTAATGGAATTTAAACTTTTCTCTACTTTTCTGAGTACTCATACGTGTATATTATACTGAACATTGTACAGAACTAAACAAGAAGAGACTCGTTTTGTACATTGATGTGCAATTCACATTTGACAATTTTACTGCCATTAAAATTATTACTAACCATTTCTAAAACTGGCTGGTTTCTCAAAAACTGTTTTCTCCATAAAATGGAAAGCTGTCAACGGCATTCATTCATCACTTAATTTTGTAAAAATCATAGAAATATTTTTGTATTATTGTTACACACATACATACACATGCTCCCATACATTTTCATTCATGCTTTTAATCTGTTCATTGTGTTAGCATGCACTGAAAGCGAGTGTGTGCAAAGAAACAGATGTGCTCCATATAAAATACACTATAAATCTTATCTTGCAATTTCTTTGCTCCAAACTCTGTCACAAACTGTCAAATACCCAATTTTCATTCTGGTATAAAATGTTCATTTTCTGACATGGCGCCAACCACCATATGCCAGAATAAAGTCAGTAACCAGCAATAAAAAAGGCAACATAAGCACCTTTGAAATGGTACAAAGCAATTAACAGTGGGAAAAAGTCTATATAAATCTATAGAGAATTAATCTCAGGTTTGCCACTATCCTGCTGCGTATTTACAATGAGCCTCTGCTCCCGACCACCAGAGGTGGCTTACTTTGTAAAAGGAGAATGCTCTAATGAGGAAAGGGAGGGGGAATTCATGAAAATGAAAGCAGTGGTACTTTATATCCCCTGTCCTTGCCCCTTTAAATATTTTCGAAAATAATAGTTTGGATATGTTTTGATCTGTGAGGCTCCTAGACAACCTTCATGCCTATGTTTTTGCCTGATCATATGTAATCAATCTTTGCAAAGCCCAATGAGCAGAAATAATCTCAGTTTCATAAATCATTGTAAGCATCCCACAGGAGGAGGTTGTGCTGTGGTTTTTATGTTCTAAAATACTTCAAACCACAATTTTTGTAAGTTTTCCTAAAGCTGAGTTCATTCTATTCTTCTATACCATTACCAATTCTCTAATAATCAAGTCTAACAACCAATTGCTTATTATTTTGGTATTTACAACGGTCTCCTGATTTAGAAAAGACCTGTTTCCCGTTCTTATTGGCCATCATTCATCATTCATCAGGCTGCATTGTCCCACAATAAGAATGTGCTGGTCTTTTCTATTTTTTCCCTTCCTTTTTAATACGTACAGTAGAAGATTGTAGCTTTATTAAATCTGCCTAGTTTATTTTGGGAAATGAAGAACAGATTGGTTTTAAACTTCATTTGTTTAAAAGAGATTAAAACTAATTTCCCAGTTTCCTAAACAGTTTGGGAATGTTTAACAATCCTAGAAAGATTAATTAAAATCTTTCTACTTGGAATAAAAGGAAATAGAAAGCATACTTTTCTATAATGTTAGGTAATAATAGTTCTCAAAAGTTACTGCTGATAACTGTGAGGGATGGGGAAGAATATTTGATTAATGTCAGTGTCAGTGTATGCTAACTGCACAATTTTAACCTATTACACAAGCCAACAAAATCAAACTTTTTGTAATAATCAGAAACGAGAGTGGCAAAGTTTAAATCAATTTTATGCTGATTTTAAATGTATTTTTTCCCCATCACATCAACTTTAAAAATTATGATGAATTGTACATTACAACAGACTATTGTAAATTCTGCAGATTTTACATCATATTCGTGCAACACAAGCCAACAAGTATTTTTCATCAGATGTAATTTTAGGTCATTCTTATAGAGATTTTTGCACTGAATACAGATTTGTGTTTACTTTTTTCTCTATCACGTGTAGTTTTGTGATGAAGCTAATTGATTAATCAATGCATTTTATCTCCGATGAAAAATACTCGTTGGCTTGTGTTATTATTAATTTTATGTTTATGTTTATTTATACCCCACTTTTTCTTTCCACAAAGGAGACTCAAAAACAGCTGCTTATACTAGAGTAATGTGGAAAAAAACAGTTTATTCCAGAACTCTAGCAGTCAAAATAGTACTTAAATTTTTTTAGTACACTTTTAAAATTAATGAATTTTGAGAGACGCATCCACTTTTGTGAGCGTCAATATTTTACTGAAGAAGATATACTCATTTGAAACATTATTTTTAATTTTATGTTTTTCATCTTCTTTGTTCAAACTTTCTCTTCTTTCCAAAGCTTCTTTTTTTAAAAAAAAGATTGCTATTTATATTTTTAAAAATCCAAGAACAAAATAAAAATATAATATCTGGCTTAGCTTACTTCACAGCTATAATTGTATAGTAAACTTACATACAAGACTATTTTTTACAGATTTGTAGGCAATGTTAACCATTTTTAAACAAAGCATAATTCCTTAGTTTCCTTGCATTACCTCTGACTTTCTTCTGTGGATGAAATGTATACATATACTGTGTTTCATGTGTTATGCACTTGAACAGCATTAAGACTTTTCAAAATCTCTCTACTGTAGAGGCATGTACCATAACCTTTACAAATCCACATACAAAAATGTGTATATACTCCTCATAATGAAAGTATCTATTGCTTATTAGTAATAAGTATATTATGTTATTTCATATTTTTCAAAACATTGTTTTGAAAAATAACTATGTGACTGCCCTGTAGGTGTACCAGCTTTCATTATTAAATTTTATTATAGATATGGCACTTACAACATATTTTGCTTACATTTCCTCATAAATTAGAGATTGTTTAGATGTTACAAGAAAAGGGAGGCCAGGATGTTCAAACAACTTGTGAATCCTGTTTTTTGTCTCTGGTGTAAGCAGGACACTCACATCATTCCTTTGATAAAGTGCACATACAGTGTATGCATCTCACCATAGAATCCATAACTGGGAACGACTCTAGTGAGAGGGAAAGTAGACTTGATGTTAGCCATGTTAAAACAAACCACACACTGAGACTGAGATCTTAGAGCACATTGGCAAACATAGTTTATGTAGTTACAAATTACTTAAGGGATCAATACCCAGAACCCACCATAAACCCAAAGGACTACTCAAGTCACAGAAGTTTACAACATGGGCACTTGGCACACTTGGGGATGACACAGCTAGCCTCCTAATATCATAGAGAAAGTTGTGGGTAGACCATGGCTGAGGAACAGGAAGGGGCTAACCACATCATCCTGAAGCACACCCCCTGCCACAGCTTATTGCTACTTTCAATATTTATCAAGACATTTCAAATTGAAATTTTCTGTGTTTAACCAACTTAATAAAATATATTTAAATATAGAAAACTGTATCTAACATTCGCCAATAGTTAAATAGTTAACTATCTGATCTAGTTACTAGATCAGATAAATTAGGAGAATTTGACAGCTGCCATGGTTAATACATCTCTTCTTGATGCAAGCAGGTATCAGGTCTGGATTATGAGTTTATTTTCTGTTTTGCTTAGTTTTGTTACAATTGGTTTCAAAATGTACACATTCCAAAGCCAGAATTTTGACTTGAGGCTTATTGCATGAATTCTTGTGAGCACATATACAATGGCTTCCCAATACAGTTCTGTCGTGGGAATGTGTAAAGAGGAATGCACATGCACTTGCCTTTTTTTCCTCTGAAGAGACTATATAATTTTGGGTGGAATTATTTTTAATTAAAAACCAATAATGTATTCTACTTACAGTAGAAAATACCTGTCTTCTTTTTTAAGATTCAGAAAGATTTGAAAGGAATTATTTTTATTATTACTATGTTTATTTATATCCTTCCACAAGGAAGGAAGCAAAAGTCTTGAATTACTGAAAAGCAGGGGTTTAAATGGGGGGAAATGGATGAGTGTTTATAATAAAAAGAACATTCAGTTTGGAAGTGGGAAAGGATGGGTACTAAATAATCAAGTAACAGTACCTCCATGACACACAAACATCTTACCTATCCTTCCTCTTCACTTCAAATATAGCAGCAAGTCTGGGACAAGCATTTAGTCCACATTGCAGAAACCCATGATGAGTTAGCAAGAAGGTATTTGTTCTGTTGTCTTGATGTACTGTTCCTTTCAGCATGAAGCAGCTAAGTGGAAAGGCAGACAGACATTATTGTGCATGCCTTCACTGTGAATGAGATGCAACTTAAAAGTCAGCAGCCTTCTCACAAATAGTACCTGTCTTCAGAGCTGCATGTGCTTCTAGAGTTCAAAGCCCACTGAATGTTTGTACACACACTTATAAGATAGTGCTGAGTTTCACGATCCAAACACATTTTCAGGACACTGTGATCTGAGAAAGCATCTCTTCAGCCTATCAAGTCCTGCACAGTTGTATAATGTACTGCTAACAGCTTAACACTCAAAACAGATCTCTTTGGTACAAAGCAATGTGAAGTACAAAACATCTTGAAAAACAAACTTTTGTAATCCAATTTCTGAAATGAATTTTAAAAGTTGTTATTGTTTTGTAGCTGTAGACGAACATAAGTCTGAAGAAAGCCATTTGGAAAATGTACAAATGAGGTAAGCTTTGCTGTTTCTTTAAAAAAATTTCATTGCATTTCTCAAAATATTATTTTATTTTTCAGGGTTTTTTTAAATTGTGAAAAATAATATACTGCAAGTAGAGTAACAAAGCAAAACAATAGCAATAGTTACGTAGGACATGAGATATATTTTCATGATTTTGAAATGTGAAATGAATCATTTTGTAATCCTATTTCATCTTGAAATGTATTTCATTATTTATTTATTTATTTATTTACTTTGCTTATATACCGCTGTTCTCAGCCCAGGGGCGACTCACAGCGGTGTACAACATAGGAGCAACAAAATTCAAGACATAGTATAAAAACAATTCTGGCCCCAGAGTGGCCGTTGGTGTTGGGGGAGGGGCGCTGATGTCACAGGGGACAAGATGGCAATGTCCCTCCTGGCTCCCCTTCTTTATTCTGGCCCCAGAGTGGCCGTTGGTGTTGGGGGAGGGGCTGATGTCACAGGGGACAAGATGGCAATGTCCTCCTGGCTCCCCTTCTTTATTCTGGCCCCAGAGTGGCCGTTGGTGCTGGGGGAGGGGCGCTGATGTCACAGGGAACAAGATGGCAACGTCCTCCTGGCTCCCCTTCTTTATTCTGGCCCCAGAGTGGCCGTTGGTGCTGGGGGAGGGGCGCTGATGTCACAGGGAACAAGATGGCAACGTCCTCCTGGCTCCCCTTCTTTATTCTGGCCCCAGAGTGGCCGTTGGTGCTGGGGGAGGGGCGCTGATGTCACAGGGAACAAGATGGCAACGTCCTCCTGGCTCCCCTTCTTTATTCTGGCCCCAGAGTGGCCGTTGGTGCTGGGGGAGGGGCGCTGATGTCACAGGGAACAAGATGGCAACGTCCTCCTGGCTCCCCTTCTTTATTCTGGCCCCAGAGTGGCTGTTGGTGTTGGGGGAGGGGCGCTGATGTCACAGGGGACAAGATGGCAACGTCCTCCTGGCTCCCCTTCTTTATTCTGGCCCCAGAGTGGCCGTTGGTGCTGGGGGAGGGGCGCTGATGTCACAGGGGACAAGATGGCAACGTCCTCCTGGCTCCCCTTCTTTATTCTGGCCCCAGAGTGGCCGTTGGTGCTGGGGGAGGGGCGCTGATGTCACAGGGGACAAGATGGCAATGTCCTCCTGGCTCCCCTTAAGTTTATATATCACTTAATTTGCAATAACGTGTTTAATTTTTAATATATGCTCATACTTCCAATATTTTATTGTACTTATCTTCCAGAATAACTCTGAAACAGAAGTAGGCTTTCTAGGCCAATCAGGTTGTTAGCTATTTTGACAAAACCATTATTGTCCATTTACAAGCTGTGCCAGTATGCAAAGGTCAAATGAGTTGCTTCTAATAATAATAATAATAATAATAATAATAATAATAATAATAATCTTTATTTATACCCTGCCACCATCTCCCCATGGGGAGTCGGGGCAGTTAGCATGCAACCAAGCCCAACAATTACAATAAAGCAAAATAAAATACATGCAACAGATAATAACATCAAATAAAATGCAAACAATAACAAAATAATACAATAGGGTAAACGGAGGATGTGAAATAAAATAAAGAGGTTGAACACAGTGGGCTGGGCCAAATGCAGGAATAAAAACGTGCAACCTTGGGTGAGATAGGTAAATAGACTAGTGTATCTTTTGGGAGATTCAGATGGGACAAACAATAGGATTTAATTTTCACTAGGGGATGAAATAAAGCGCATCAAGAGGACAAATTTGTACTAGGATGGTCATGGAATTGGGATTTGTTGTTCATTCCACAAATTCTACCCTCTCTATTGGAGTGGCTTGACTCTAGGCCTGGGAGGATATCTTGGTGATCAGGAGTTCCAACCACTGTGAGATGCCCATCGAGATTTCAGGCCACATCTTGTATTAGTTGCATGATCTCACTAGATTTTATTGGATTTAAGAGGCCCTGAATAGTCCTGGCAAGTACTTGATTGATCACTTATAGTGAACTGGCAGCTTAATCCATAGACACTGCTTATCAGGCTATTGCCCAAGTTGAACTGGGTTACCTACCGAGGCCAGAATTTTTGGCCCATTTTATTGTAACATAGGTATGTTGACAATACTGTAGGTATTCCTACTACATAACCACATGCCCTAGTATGCTTCTGTTTTTATCATCAACATAATGTTTATGATTATTTGGTTGCTTTGTCATAACTGCTGGTGATGGAGATAAAGAAAGAGAATTCAGAACTCTACACATTAGAAAAGACTGATAGTCTTGGAATGACCACTTAGGATGAGGTGGTCTGCAATTTGGGGCAGCTTCAGTTATGACCCTCCTCGCTTTATTTCTCTAGTCTCTCCTCAAATTGGTGGATCAGAGCTCAACCATGAGCATATCCCACACTAGCCTACATTTTTGGTACTTGGCTGATCTGGTGAGGCATTTGTCTGGGTTAATTCACTTACCAAACCTCGATTTGCCATGGGCCATAAAGTGCTTTGATTTATGCATACCATGTGTTACGATAAACCTATGGCCATCCATCTTCACCCACAATATTGTTATCCAGCCTGTTTGTCTTGAAGCAACAGCTGAATTTGGTTGTCTGGATATTATGGACAGTGAAAGAGAAACCGAGTTCTAATTTTAACTGTATTTAGAACAGAGGTTACTTCATTGTGCATACTGTATTTGTACATTTAGAAAAATGTTAATTTATAGGAAACATTCAAAGGGTTTTACTGAGTCTACTTAAAAACTGAAACCAGTCCCATGATATAAGATGGCACCACTTTAAAACCAAATCATTAAAATAGACATGGAGAATACAAAAAATAGTAGTGAGAGAGCCAGCATGCAAACATCTTTGAAAGGACGGCATAAATTAATTGTAAAATGCAGTCAATAAAACAATTACACTGTTGAAATAAAAAAGAACTCAAGATGGCAACAAGACAAGGTGAGGAAAACTGAAAATTTATTGTATGTAAGACTTGAGACTTCCAAGCAATAGAACCTCACATAACATAATACTATAAATCAATACAGCTGTCCCTTTAGAATCAGAATTTTTTAAAAAATCTTCTCCCTCACCACTCCATAATATATTTTTTCTATATGTACAGTGCTATTATTTCATGCATATAAAAAAAGTTTGGAAGTAGCACTGCATCTACCATCATTGCCAGCATTATCTCCAAGTTACAGCAGATTTATGTTCGTTGCAAACCTAGGCTATAGGATTAGAACTCTGTTGCCAGGGAAACTGAACTTCCCCAGTGGGTTTATATAGTGACAATCCTTTCTCCCCAACTCTACAGCTTTGAAGAAATTGTGGACTATTTTGGGATAAAGCCAAAGTCTGGTGAGAAGGAAATCACGCCAAACTACGTTTTCATGGTGTGGTATGAGTTCTGCAGTGATTTTAAGACCATTTGGAAACGAGAAAGCAAAAACATTTCCAAAGAAAGGTAAGGTTCTAATAAAGTCATTAATACCATTTTTAGAAGTCTGGGAAACTGTTCCTTTTCAAACTCAACAAATTATACTCCCATATTTCACAGGCGTCATTGTTTTCTTTTAGATCAAATGGACATCAAGGAAAGATTATTCCCTCAGGGTAACTTGGAAAATTCACCAAAGGGATGCTGTCCCTGCAAAAAGATAAACACGTATAATCTGATAAATTACACTTTCTTAACCCCTTCCAATTACTAGCTAGTAAAATGAAAGGGGAGCTGTACTAATTTGTAACAGATTGCTTCTCTTTGCATTTTCATGTAGAACTGCCTTAAATGAGGCAAGATTGCTGTTGTAGACAGGACAGACAAATAAAAGTGAATGCTTTTTCCCCAGTTAATATACTACGCTTTCATCAAAGGGAAGCCTGCGAGATTCAGGCCACACTTAGCATGGTGTTGCAATCCCACACTGAATTTACAGAGCCACTTCTTGGTATCCTGCTGGGGACATCAAACTCCATGCCGCACGGCATCTCCCACCATCTTCTGATTTTATTAGGTTTTGTAAAAACTTTTTTAAAGACTTCACCTTTGAGCTCTTTTTTAAATCAAGAAGTTCAGCTAATTATTGAATTAATGAGTTTTCATCCTTTATGTGATAGCCCTGTTATTGAATTCTGAAGTATATTGCATTATAAAATAACTAAATCAATTACACTTTAGGTGTGCTTTGCCTCCTATCAAATTCAGGTATCAGAATCCCATTCCGATACCTTAACAGCCCACACACAGACAAAAGGAAAAATCAACAATCTTGGGAAACCAGAGTTTATAGAAGTGCAAAAAAGACAGAAGATGCCATGATTAGATAGATATAAAATAGTTTATGGTGAGATTAGTCTTCAATTCACCTGATAATTCTCAGTAGCTGCAGATTATCTGCTAATTAGTAGACAGGAAAATGGGAATGTGCTAGAGAATATCCTAAAAGAGAGCATTGTTAGACTCATACTGCACACATATATGATTCACTATGGAATTTTATTCTATGTCCTACTTGTTTAATATTACAATTTGCCTTTCTAATACATACATTTTTACTCTTATTGACTGTGGTCTCATTCCTTTCTGGCCCATCACTTCTTTCTCAGTGAATGTTGAATATGGGCCAAGATCACTAACAAATTTGACAGTTTGTGATTATTATGACAGGTATCAAGATGAATGTAATCTAACGAGTATTCTGATAGTGTCACTCGACAGAGCTGCATCATCAGAACCAGTTTGCAAGTAAAAGCAGCAATACATGCCCCAATATACAACATGTCCTGATGCATAATGTGCCCTGTTTCACAATGAGAAATTCCATTGTGCAAAATAGGACATCACAGAAAGTGAACTGGCATGGTTGCAAATCATGTCAATGATGTAGCTGTGTAATCATAAAGTTATGTATCCTAGCCTCTGATTTTAAATTTAAGATTTCTGATATGTTACAGCCTAATGTATATGTAGTAAGAAAGCTTTAAAAATTCTACTCTTGAATATGAATCACTTCTGGTTGACAGTGTTGTTGTTGTTGTTGTTGTTGTTGTTGTTGTTGTTGTTGTGCCTTCAAGTTGTTTCCAGCTTATGACAAACCTATGGCAAACTAATCATAGGGTTTGCTTGGCATTATTTGTTCAGAAATGGTTTTCTGCTTGCCTTCCTTTGAGACTGAGAGAGTATGACTTACCCATGGTCAGTCATTCATAGGGACAACAGTATAATCCAATGTGAAATATCACTGATGTCTCTTTATATGATACTTTTGTTATCTTTATTTACATTTACCTCTACTAAACTCTTCTGAGATTATTCAAAGGACAGTGAAACACCTCTTAAAAGACTTTGTAGTTGAGAGAGGCCCTGGTTTGAATTGTAGTTTTAACCATGTACTCAGCCATTCTCCAAGAATTTGTTTTGTCTGAAAATGGCTTGGCTTCTAATGTTAAGAAAAGTGTGGAAATGTAATTAGATTTTTATCAGACATTTTAGAAGAGGAAACATTTAAAACCATGCTACCCTACGCTTAACTCACTGTGAAAATAAATTAGCTGCCAGTGTAATGTAGCTGATTTCCCCCCCAGGACCAAATCTGCATAATGCAGAAGAATTTCAAAATATGCATAAAAATGAAGTTTAGACTTCAAATCACAACCCAATTAATCTGAATTCCTGAATTGTCCAAGGGGCAAAAATATATGACAGGCATCAGATAGATTTATTTTACTAAATAAATAATAACTTGGCTGAGTCACTCAGTGGTTTTGGATGAAGTAGTGCAATCTTACTCCGAGTTTTCTCAATACTACAATGATGTGACATTAAATGTCAGTACAGTCAAGCCTCCCCTTTCACAGATCTAGCTTCCACAGTTTTGATTATTCCCAAGTTTGCCATCAATGATTAAATGTGGTTTTGGGGATTTTCTGCAGAAAATCACAGATGTGCACAGAATAGAACATTTAAAGAAAACAAAAAGTTTAGTACTTCATTGTATGTTAAATCTAGTCAACAATATTAAGAGTGAGAGGCTGGAGATATTAGATTTTTTTCTACTTTCATGAAGTCCTGCAATCCTAACCCCAGAAAAAAATTGGAGGGCTGATTGTATACACAGTCATATTAGAGCCTGGTTTTTTGTTTTAAAAATTTATAGTGAAATTGATTTGAGTCTGAATAAATTAAAGCAAGAACTAGAGCAATGAAGTCTATTCAGATTTTCTATATGAGTAGTATCCCCTTGTTATGAACTGTAGATGGGCTGCAAGACCTAAAATAAGGTCCATGAGACATACATTTTAGGCCTGTTTGGGAGTTATTAGGGGTGATTGAGAAAATTGCATTGAATAGACCATTAAATCATTAAAACATATGCCATCCAGTCATCACCATCTGTTGGCGAGCAGATGGCGACTACTGGATGGCATATGTTTTGTATCAGAAACTGAATCTGATGTGGTCTATCCCATGTAATTTTCTGAATTAGCACCCCAAATAACCAGACTGAATCTAAAGTTGACCAAAAACTGATTTGTAACACTTTTCGTACTAATGTTGGAGAGTGGTCCCAGATCAAAGTCACTGGTTAAGTAGTCCCTGGTCAAAAAAAATTGGGAACCGCTGCTGTAAACACTGCACAACATATTTATGCTAAGTGATGTTCAGAAAAATTTTATGAGTGCCATTTTTTTGGGGGGGGGGCAACATTTAGCAAGTGGATCCATTTGTCTTAAACCCCACAGTTCAAGAAGCAGTGGCATAGAGAAGTGGGCTCACAGAAGTTGGGTGAAAAGTGATTACATCATCTGTTGAGGTCCACCAGGTCCTTTCAAAATTTCAAGGAATTATTTAATCATTTCACTTCTGGCTAAAGGAACATATGCTTCTGTGATTCCTTCTGCTGCTTTCCACCAAGCATTGAATTCCAGTAGGGAGGATTCTGTAGTAGGTCCATGGGGGGCTTTGGTTACTGTAGAGGGGAGAAAGAGATACTAACCTTCACAGTGACCATAAATAGACATATTCAAGGATGTCAGGCCATGCTTTGTGACTTTGTGATCAAACTAGTGAATGTATGCAGCATAACTGGAACAGACTGACACACACACACAAATCAAAACCTACATAGTGAAAAGGATTCAACAAAAGTTTGGAAGAATTGTGTCATTTGTAGTGTAATTTTCCGTACATCAGTTGCTTCTGAGCTACACAAGCATGGAAAGTTTACCTGTCCGAACGTATCTTCTCCTATGAACCACCTCAAAAATTACCATCTTTTGGGGAGGCCCTACTCACAGTCCCACCTTCTTCACAAGCACGACTGGTGCGGATGATAGACAGAGCCTTCTCAGTGGTGGCCCCTCAACTGTGGAACTCCCTCCCTAGTGACATTAGATCAGCCCCCTCCCTACTAGCCTTCAAAAGGAGAGTAAAAACCTGGTTCTGGAAACCAGGCCTTTGGAGAAGCAGTGCAATAATATAATATAATTCAAATATGTACAATGACTATGGAACGGCCTCAGAATATGATTTTTGAATAGTGTGATTTTAATATTGAATTTAATTTAATTTTTTAAAAATATACATTAATTTTAATTCAGTGGATTTTAAGCTTAATGTTGTATATGTTTAAAACATTGAGTAATTCCCATATGTAAGCTGCCTTGAGTCTCCCTAGGGGTAGGGAGAGGCGGGGTATAAATAGGGTAAATAAATGAATAAGTACTTTAAAATTAACATGCTGCAAACAGGGTGTAGTTGGTATCCTTGACAGATCCCAGAAGTTCAAATCACCATTAATGGAATTTAATATGGTGGTGATGGTATATAGTGCCAGCAAGCACTTAATAGCACTTGTTGATTTAAGGTGAAATCTGCTAGTAGCTGTGCCGACTGTCTGTGGCTAATAATCAGTCTTTGGGTATCAGATCACTTCATGCCTTAATTCCTATTCTTTCCTCCCTCTATGTTGAGAATGAAACGAGGCCACAGGGGTTAAGTAAGCAGTGCTGGTTTTTCCATATTAACCCTTGGTACAACTGTAAGTGTTCTTGCAGAGCTGATTTTTTTTTAATGTAGGCTAGGCAAAGGTACCAGTACATATTTTTAAAATGTTACTTTTAATTTAATGCATTTCAAAATAGATCTAGTTCTTGTACTCTTATTTATGTACATACATTTATATATTCCTACATGTTGGAAGTTCTCAAGATCTGAACATCTGATTTCCCAAAAAGAGTTTTAGGATAGGGGTGTGTGATGGTCATTTAATCTTGCACTAAGAAATCAATTACTTGTTTTTCAGTAAAAGATATCAGATATTCATTTAGTTCTTTCAAATTCTTGTATTTTCTACAGCTTATTTTTTCACATTGTGTGACAATCCACTACAATTTAAAAGCTTGTTAATATTACTGCTGACACCAGCAACCTTTCTTCTCTGTTCTTTCGTATATTTTGACCTTCTTTGCACCACGATGAGTGATCCTAATTCTTCTTTTGAAGAAATTCCCCTTACATATGGTCAGATTTCATGGTTTAAACAAACTGCATTCCTTAAGCTTCTTCCTCGCCCTCCTTCTCCATTCTCGTTCAAGATTCAAGTGTTATTAATGGTCAGTGTCTTCTGTAGAAAATAGATATGAGCTGTGTCCCTCACAGATTAATGCAGCTCATTCAGGTTACATATCCGATCCTTAAAATTCATAAAAAATAACAAGAAAATATATTATTTAAGAGGGAAGAGATTTATGCGAATTAAGCGTGATGTAAAGTGTAGATATAAGTTTTATTTCATAAAATATCACACTAAAAATGGAATGTTCTAAATAAAATAAGCAAACACTTCTGCATTTCAGGTGGAGAGGTCTGACTGTGGTGTTTTGCATGGTCTTGTCCTTGAAAATGTTTCAGTTTTAATAGTACTTTGGTTTTCAATTATTTTAAAGTGTGTTTTCATCTGTTTTTACAACTGTTTAGTAAAGTGCACTTAATGCACTAGTGGTCTGCCTGGGATGTCAGCTAGCCTGATGGCAAGTGGGCCAACTTAGAAATTAGGCAATATGTTTACAATTTTAATCACCTTTAAGTAGTTTAAAAATATAATAGAAGTGTCAATATTATTATTGTATGCAACTAAAATTTACATTGTGTTATTGTTTTTAAAAATAATAAAATCATTTTTGACGATGCTTTATATTTAAAAATATAATAAATAAGTCTGGAAAATAATTCCGATTTAGGTTAAGTGAGACTGACACAATTGTTATATCAAGTCAGATCTTTACTATTTCTTATTTAAAAAAAATTATAGCCTTATCGTTGTGGGTGCCCCCCCCCCTTGTCTCCTGGCAACCAATATTTATATCCAGTTCACAACTGATTTAATGTTTTAGTTGCTTTGAGACATTGTACATACTATTAAGAAGGGATGGGAGCTATATAAAGATACTTTAAATCAAGAAATAAACAGTATATACTGTATATACACTGTATATACACTGCCGGTTAACCTCTACTGCGAATTATTTATTTTACCTCTTTATTTCTTCCACCTCTCTTTTCTTCCACCTTTTATTTATTTATTATTTTTATTTATTTATTTGGTTTACTTTTACCCCGCCCTTCTCACCCCGAAGGGGACTCAGGGCAGCTTACACAACCAAGGCACAATTCGATGCCCATAACATACAGCAGTAATAAAACAAAATAACGCAAATTAACAATCAGCAGCAATACAATTACATCTATACTCACTAAAAACAATAAAACCAATAAAAATTTCATAGAAACCGATATAAACCAATTACTCCTTATTGCCGGTCAATGTTCGCTATCTCTTAGTTCAGAGTTTCCTTCCACATTTATCAGTCCTGCCGGTCTTATTTGTATGGTTGTCCTTACCTTTCCTTCTATGTACCAATGCAGGCCCTAAGATTTGCCGGGGAGGCCCTTCTCTCGGTCCCACCTCCGTCTCAAGTGTAGTTGGTGGGGACAAGAGATTAGGGTATCCTCCACCCTCCAGGTTTTTCAGAAACACCTGAAAGCATGGCTTTTTGCACAAGCTTTTAACCATGTGAGTGGTCACTTTTGCACTTTATGAGGACAGATATTACACATAGCTGCTATTTTATAGCTTGTCGTATTTTTAGTGTCTTTAATTAATAGGGGTTTATCACGGTTTTATGTGCAATGGGGATAATTTTATTATTATTATTACCTTTTTTTGTATTTTGTTGTATTTGTATTGTGTTGCACTATTGAGTGTGTTCTGTGAGCTGCCCTGAGTCCCTCCGGAGAGATGATAGTGGGATGCAAATAAAGTTTATTCTTATTTTTATTGTTATTTTAGTAACTCCTGTTTCATGCCATAGTATCTTATTTAACATTTATGAACACAGTCGCCATAATAGCAGAAGAAATTCAAATTTAGCCATTCTTTATATTCTGACGCATTCAAGAAAATGCTTGCATGGCCCTTTTCCAATACCATTACTCACAATTATTGACAAACTTTTCCAGTGTTTTTGCTTATTTCTTTTTAGGGACATCTCTTTTTTTCATCATATGCAGGCATTCAGTCTTAACTCCCCCATCCCCTCTTCAAACAGGCTTAATTTTACCATTTGTTTACTTTGAAGAACTATTAATAATTAATCAAATTGTATAAAGTTAGATAAGTGCATTACAAGTACTGTATTCTTTTCAGGAGTATAGTAGTTTGCAATGTGTAATAATATATAGATGTACAATATGTACGTTCTTGGAATTTTTGTGAACGTACATCATGATGATTGCTTGTGCCTCCTTGCAATGACATTGTATAAGGAGTGGAATTCAAAATTTCATCAAAGGGTGGAATTCATCAACTTTAAAGAAGCACAGTTCATGGGAAGTTTTATAATCTTGGTCCCAGCTCATAATCTTTATATGTTCCCAAGTATTCAGAGACAAATCTGACTCACATTAATCACATATAACAATATGTTAAAGTCTTTGAGATATAATCAGAGAATGCTTAATTAATGGTAGGGTATTTCTATATCTCTTATCAGCACATTGCTTAAGAGTGATTTTGAAATGAGACCTCTTGAAAGTAATGTGACTCTTTTCTTAAACAAGAGTAATGAAGTTATAGACACTAAACAGCTGTTCAAGAGCAGTTCTACACAAATACAATTTGGATAGGCCATTTAGTTTCTTGAAAATCTTTAGACATGTAGCTAATAAGGAACAATTGCCATCTTTTAATAAAAAGGCAAGAAAAGTACTCTGGCTTTATAAATCACACACCAATTTCCAGTATCATGTCATATTAGATTTTGCCCAAAGAACAGAATCCAGGCGTGGGTCTCCAGAAACAGAAACAAATATATTTGTTCTCTTTTTTGTTTTATCATTTTAATTCCACTCATCTCAGTGGCTCTTTACCCTTTCTCTTTTGTCTTACATTCAATCCTGGGTAATACTAAACATAAGTGAACACCTGTCCTGTTTTGTCCCTTGCCAACATGGGTCCCAGTTTGCAGTGCATTTCTGTATGTGATCCTCATTTGTAAGCACGACAAGTATGTTACTAGTAAATAAAATTAAACCAAGAGGAAAATCCAAGCTAGTAATCTTGAGCACAGGCTTACTTATCTGCAATGTGGAAAGAAATTGGGCCATTTATGGAAGGTGAGCCACTTCAGTTTTTCTAACACTAAATCCACATTCCTAAATTCCAGTGCTGAGAGCCATGCATGTGATAGAAGATCTCAAGATCAGTAGCAAGTTGCTTCATTACAGTCCTTTCCCTCCTTCCCACAAATTCCCCCTTCCTGTCCTAATTATGGTTAAGGGATGTGTGGGTTTAAACTTTGGATCAATGTGGGAGGGAAATAATTTTGTCTTGTTTAGGCAAGAATCTGTGTTTCCTTAAAAGGAGCTGTGGTAATACTGAGTTATCCATAGCATCTCCTGGATCTGTTAGGTTGAACTAAAAAGGGGGAAAAACCATTAGGGAGCTTAAGCTACTTCTCTAAGTGGAAAGACAATGTAGAAAAGGGTAAAAGAAGAGGACATTATACATTCGTGTAAAATTATGTAAGATGTGAAAGAAAGAAAAGTTTATCCCGTATAACTCTAGAATTCAGTCATCTTATGAAGTGTTTGTCAGGACAGACAGAAAAGAAGGCATTTGTTCACACAGAGCATAGTTGAACAATCAAATTCACTTCCATATGATGGCCACTAACAGAGATAGAAATCTGGGGATAATAAGGCTCCTTTTAATTTGATCTGGCCAGATAACGTAATTGAAAGGCAAGATATGAATCTTAATAATATATTAAAAAGTAGAAAGAGCCCAAGACCTGTTTGTTCCCATTCAAGTCAGATGCCAGTAGTGCAAAAGCTGGAGCTGAAGGCAACATCCTTCTCCAAACATTATTTCCCAGCAACTATTGATGAAAGTCTTGCTGACTCTGATCCTGAAGACAGCTTATAGCCATGTGACTTGATAGTCTTATTCTCCCTGAAACCACTCCCCTTTTCATCTCAATTTACCTGTCTTTTGTGGCTAGGAATATCCTCCTTTAGTTCCGTTGCCACTATGTCCTCAGGCTGATAAATTATCATGTGAACTGTCCTTTAAAAACCAGAATTGAAAATCACAAGTTACAGAATGATCCTGGATTATGGTATTGTATTGAAAGAATCACAAAGCAGAATTTATAAATGTGAATGTAAATATATTTATTTAAAACATGAAATCATTAAACATACAATTAAAGGAAGAAGTGCTTGAACCCGTGGCTTGGTCACAGTCTTTTGCCCCTTTTTGTAACGTTACTGTGATATGTACCAACAACTCTTTTAAATGTATTAATATTACTATGGCAAGGGAATGTTGCTTTCGTGATCCATTCTGGTAAGCTTTTTATTTTATTTTCATTATTACACAACAGCTCTGAGAAATGGCTTGATTTGGGACCATAACATGGAGGAAGGTTTAAATCTTTGTTTCCACTGGATCCCAATCCAGACCATACCCATCCAATGGCTGCTGTTCCTCCAGGAGGAAAGCTACAATTGGTGCCTATTATTACGGACTAGTATTATTTTTCTACCTTTTCAGAATGGTTAGTTTGCTTGCTTGTAATGTATGCATGTTCACCTACCAGGCACTGTAGAAAAGAAGCTTTGACATGCTAAACAAATACAATTTCTTTGTTTCTAAAAAAATCTGTTGTTTGTCTTTGGTTTCAGACTCAAAGTGGCTCAAGAATCAGTGAGCAAATTAACTGCAGAAAAGAAAGTGGAAACAAAGAAAATCAACCCTACTGCCAGCCTGGTATGTTGTGTGCTCACAGTGACTCTAGTTTCTAGTGCACTTTTTCATATAAACTGTTGTAGCATTATAATTCCTTCAAAAGACAATTCCTGTTACAGCCTTTCCATATTCAGAGTATTTTCAAAGCCTTTTTTTTTCAAGGGAACAACAACTGGTGTCAATTCAGAAAATGTCTGAAATACTGTACCAAATTCAGTCTGCAACAAAATGATTCACCAAGGTGTCTCAGTTCTGTCACTTTCTCTCACTCTCTGATTGGAGCCCTTCTTTCATGCTGCAGTTTATACACTAAACAATCCCAGGCACTGTTTTTTACAGTATAAATAATCTTGAATTTGTTAAATGGGAAGAAACAAGCTAGAAAAACAGCAACAGAACTTTGTTGTTGTCCATCTCCTACATTTGCCACTCTGTTTATCTGTGAACAAGGCTGCCTTGCTGGGTTGTATCCAGTGTAGGCTGATGTTGTTTTTTAATGCACAGACAAAGAAACATTCTTTTGCCATATTTGGTGTAACCAATAATTGCCAGCTAAATAAAGGTGGGTCCAAATTAGCAGAAATAAATGTAAATACAGTGTTTAAATCATATTTAATGGCACTTATTACTGGGGCAGCCTGAAGTAAAAGGCAAAGCATATGGGTGATTTGGAAAAAGAGAATATTGTTTATCAGCTTGAACAATTTATGTATGGAGTTCTTGACTACATTGGTTCCTGTTCATAAGATCCGATATGGCAGCAATTCTCTACATGAGCACAAACTTCCCCATTCTTAGGCAGGCTGAAGGAGCAATCCACAGATAGTAGATTAGTCCTTCTTGCCAGGAGATTGAGGCAGAAGTTGCCAAAGTTCTAACTCCATTCTAAATGTTGATTCATCACTCTCTGTCCATCAGTTTTGTTTTGTTTTTTCCTTGCCAATCAGTCAGGTTTTCTTTATATCTATTCATCAGTCTTTCTTCATTAAACTTCGTAGGTTCGACAGTGAGAAATATCCATCAGATTGTTTCTCTTTGTAAGAAAGAGAAGCCACTGCATATAATATGCTTTGGATCATGCCTCTATTTTTTTCTGCTTCTACAACTACATACATATATTTTCCCTATCCAGATTGGTTGTTTGTATTCACATTACTGATTTTCACAGAAATTCATTACCATATCATTTTAAATGTAGATGAATTGAGGTGTTCCAGAAACCAATGGAAATATCTTTTGGAGAAATATGTAAAATATGTCTCTATGGAAACTTGCCATTCCTATCTTGGTATGGCACTGCGGGAATTATTTTTTTTCAATGTGGGGGGAAAGGGTTATGTCTACTCTGGTTTTGAACTGCTCCATTCTTCAAGACTGCTAGACCACATACTCTTTGCAATTTGAGAACAGATGGAAAATTAAAGAAAAGAATGATAATAAAGTTCCTTTTTTCTTAAACAACAGAAAGAAAGACTACGTCAGAAAGAAGCCAGTGTGACCACCAACTGAAAGAAGACACATGAAAATAATGACAGTGTGACTTAATACCTTGCATGATGCTTCACTGTCCATTCCCAAGAGGGCACCTTATTTTAGATGTTATGAAGTTCTGCTTTGCTGTTCTCTTCTTCAGACAATCCACGAAAGACTTCTCGATTCCTTGGCTTGTACAGAAGAGGGAATACTAAGAAACTTGTTTACATGGGTATTATGAAGGATTTTGTAATAGCCCTTCCTTATGTGGCTTAAATGCAGCTCTTTTCCTAAATGTTCTTTGAAGTACTCTATGCAAAATGCACTGATGTAGAAGAGAGGAAAACCTTGTCAGCACCGAGAGAAATCTATATTGTCTTATATTGGCCTGTTGAACCCAGTGCTGGTAGGTTTTATTGAGTCAATAGCTGCTTAAAATGAATTTGATGGCATCCAAAGGATTAACTTTCCCATCTCAAAAATGGTGGAAATTGTGTATCAGGTGGATCCTGTATTTTACTACAATTATTTTTATAGAAACCTTAGTCTATGCCATAAAAGTAGAAATACTGTTTTTGCACATGTGAAGAGAGAAGTCATATCAAAATATTTTATCCTGTTTAAATAATGTATAGATACTGAAGCATCCATTAATCTTTTGGGTTTTTTCCTACTGTCATCTTTATTTTATTTGCAAAGAAAAGGAATATTTTCCATACCAAGATGAGGTCAAGTTAGCAATGTTCAAGAATGCTTTATTTATAGCCATCTAGCTGCAGATGTTTGAATCCATTATTTATCACTAATTATGCCAAAGCCTATATTCCTTGATAGTCAGCACTTTCATATAACTGATCTAGAAAATGTTTACATCATCTTGTTTTTGTGACTGTAGCTGTGTGTGAGAGAGTGAGAGGAAACACACAGACACTCAAACATTGGTACACATGTTGCTCATATAGTTAGGTCTTGGGCCAATAATGTGTTCACAGCACCAATGCTATAGAACTTTCTTGTCTTTACCTTTCTCATGCAGCCTCTGGCATTGCACACACAGAAAAAAATTGTTGACAGTTTCCAAGCCCATTGGTGCAGTGGAATAAAGGACCAAGAATGGGAAAGAGAGATCATACCTCTTCTGGTCTGATTTGACTGAAGCAATTCTCCCAGCTTTATTGGACCTTGGCCCTCAAACCTGAATAGAAAGAATGCAGTAATTTTCTTTCATTGTGTTACTATCGCAACTTATGGCAAATTTCAGATGTGTCAGGGTGTCTCCCAATAAGCCACTGCTGGAAAAAATGAAGGAGTCACACAAGCATGCCCTTAAAATTGCAAGCCAGTGCTTGCAATGCAATTCAGATAAGGCAAAATACAATACTGAATTCTGAAATGTAATTACATTTAAGCCAAGAAGTGGTTGAGCTAGAAGGAAATTACCACATTTCTGTGTCCTAGAGAAAGCACCAAGATTATCTTCTCCTACTTCCCTGGAGGGAAAGTGATATCCAATAGCATTTTCAATTTTCTGCTTTCAATTTTCTGCATATTTTGCTGCACGATATGACATGTGGCTGTGTACTCATGAATGGCCTTATGCAGATGCCTGGTCTTCTCATTCAGATTTATTGTATACATTCAAAACTCAAAGAAGTGTCACAGAATAGAAAGATTTTTTTCTTTTTTTAGAAAGTGCCCAGTCTCCAGAGATAATGTGAAACTACACAACATTGATTCTGAAGTTAGAATATATTGAACAATAAAAGGAACATAGAAAAAAATATGTCACTTGCAGGATAAATATATAATAGTCAGGTGTTATAAAACAAAAATAAAAAAAGATTCATATAATCCATGTGTTGTTTTAGGAAGACTTTCAGTATTTTCCTTAACAAAATTGTGTAGTTGTAAGAGAAAACAATATGAAACATTTAACTTCCTATTTATCTTATCCCATGAAAATTAAAGGAAGAAGTTCTAAGATACCACATTTTATATCAGCAATTAATAGGTTGTCATTGTTGATCTTCAGTTAAGGTGTTCTGAATATGGAGCAATTGTAGACATTACAGTGCAGATATCCTTAAGATATGCAAAAACATATTTTTACAAAAAAATAATAATAATCACAGTACTATTTTTAGATCGCCTGAGAATAGTCTGGATTGATCCATCTATTACGCTATGAGTCCATATAAACCCATGTACCTAGTTGATCTCATATATAAATCAAGGGCAAGTTTGGGGTCATTTTACAAACAAATCTTTTCCTGTATTGTCGAAGGCTTTCATGGCCGGAATCACTGGGTTGTTGTAGGTTTTTCCGGGCTATATGGCCATGTTCTGGAGGCAATTTTTCTCCTGACGTTTCGCCTGCATCTATGGCAAGCATCCTCAGAGGTAGTGAGGTCTGTTAGAAGTAGAAAAATGGGATTATATATCTGTGGAATGACCAGGGTGAGACAAAGGACTTTTTTCTGCTGGGGCTAGCTATGAATTTGTCTCACCCTGGTCATTCCACCCAGTCCTTTGTGGTAATGTCAAGAGGTAGAGAAGCTAGCACCCTATTACTCCCTCTTGCCCAAACTGGAGAAATGCAACCTTCCCTCCTTCCTCACCATTTTTCCACCTGAGCAGTATATAGCAGCAACATGGGGAAGCCTGAATAATGTGGTGAACCTGCCCTTTTGGGTGCTTGAGACGGCATGGAATGGCAGTCGCCTTGTTAGTGTCTTAGCCTGCAGTCTCTGTTCCAGCATTAATCTATGGATTAGTCAACTCAGGTTTTTTTGGGTTGATTTTTTTGGTCAGTTTTTATTTAACTTCTATATGAGTATACTAAATCATCAGGTGACTTGATCTAAACTCATTAACACTGATACTTTGATCATATAGTTGCATTCTGTTAGTAAAAAGGCATTACTGACATCGACTGGATTCATGAGATATTAATGGGTGAAATATAGCAGTTGGGCCTGATCCAAAGTATGGCCCTCATTAAGGAAGACCTAAAATAATATGTACAACTTATATGAGAGGTGACTAGCGGGCCCCATTCATTTCAGTAGGTCTCTTATAGTTGGAACTAGAATTGGATTTACCATGGACTGCATAAAGAGATTGAGTTGCATTTGGAGGCTATATTATGTAAAGATTAGATGGCAGTGAGGGAAAATAAATCAGCTTCAGTATCTGATTCATGATACAGCAGTTCTAGCAGTACAGAGAGCATTGAACACTTTTTAATTCATAGTTATTATTTGCTATCAGGTCAGCTTTGATTTATGAAAAACCCATGATCACTAGTTTTCATTACATTTAATCCACTGAGGACAATGGAATTTAAAATTTAAAAGGGGCATCTGGGATTATTTATACTCCTTCATGTAAATGTGTAGATAATATGTGTAGAAATGTACTGAGAAAATGGCTGAAACCAGAAGTCTGAGTGAATGACCATGACTGTCTACAAAGTGCCTATGACTGTTTGGTAAGTCAGTCTATATTGTCAGCTTCAAGTGGTGTGGCATTTCTTGTACCTTATTCAAACACACAGGAAATTAATTCCCCTCAACTTCAGGTAGGAAATACATACAGAAAGCTATCATACTGTGATACATTTACCATGTATGTGATGCAGTAATGTTTTGCCAATGTCATGTCAGATCAGTCAGTAATGAGTTACACATTTATGGGTAGCAGAACTCATTGAGGCTGGTCTTCCAGTTGTGTGGTATATGCTGAATTTCTGCAAGCTGATGGCCTCTAGGTATGGTCAAGTGTGATAAGAGTTGTAGTCCAACACATCTAGTGGGTGCAAGATGGAGAAGGCTGTTATGACTATAACTGACAGGAGAAGCTGTGTTTTTCTTACTCCTTTACATAGTGTCATAAACACACATTAATTTGTTACTGCTGCTGCTATTGCTATAATGTATGCTCAGAAAAGACACTAAGACAGTAAAACAAAGGATTCAGCTCAAGGTATTTTCTGCCATGGTTTTCTATAAAGCAGTTGGCCATGCTCATTCCAAAATTATTATTTTTGAAGGTAGTGCTATAGGAATACAAACACCAAAGTATGTGTGTTAATATTTTGGAACTCAGAATGGAAACCTTATTTTGCTGGATGGTCCTTTAATACTTTAGTATGCAACTGTTTATTTGTATACATTGAGAGAGTTTAACCATTTAAATTTTAAGACACTTGAATCCAGAGAACCTGCTACTCCCATATCTCCTGGAAATTATTTCAAGCCTCACAAAAAGAGTGCCACATGCATGGGGATCAATGACACGTACATGATCCACCCCAATGTGAGCAATTGTGGTTTGCACATAAAACTGAATATTGGAACCTCAGCTATTGCATTTTATTCTACCAATGCACACATAGAATGTGGCAATTACTTTATCATGATTGACCTGTATTTTTATGATGTATTTTGGAGAGTTATGATATCAGATTATATTTATAGAATTTGGAAATGAGACAGTTTGTTGGAGGTATAAAGTTGTTTGGGAATATAGACATTTAAATCTATTGGGAACAGTGGGAGATGAAAGTAAACCAAAAATATTTTAAAATGTAATTTTGATTCATCCCTTGTAAACAATGCCTAGTAAAATATGTGCAAAATGTTTTTAAAAAATGTTTGTCATTTATTTTTGTAATATATATGGTAGTGAAATGATGGCTCCAATTATGTATTTATTGTTTTCATAAAAGGTGTTGGATCCAGGGTAAGATCCTCCTATTACAGAAGGGCTGAATGTCCTATGGAGACTGACAATCCCAAAAAGGAAGTTCATTTTTGTCACTTTCTCATCAGTTCCAGAAGGATCTCCTTCTCTAAAACTAGTATTTAGAGAAAAACAGGGGGAAGGTAAAATTGCCAAAAATATATTTCTTCATTATTGAACACACAAGATCTTTAATTCCAACAATTTATTCTTAAAAGACAACCAAGATCTGAAACCACCAAACGTGGTATTAAATTTCTGCAGGCGAAACTATATTTCAGCTCCATCTATCCTAGAATGTGTCCTGAGAAGTGCAACCAAAATGATCAAAGGTATCAAAGCCAAGTGCTATGATAAAAGAGTGTGGGATAGGTAAAGGTTGTCCCCTGACATTATGTCCAGTCATGTCTGACTCTGGTGTGTTGTGCTCATCTCCATTTCTAAGCCGAAGAGCCAGCATTGTCCATAGACACCTCCAAGGTCATGTGGCTGGCATGACTGCATGGGGCACTGTTACCTTCCCGCCGGAGCGGTACCTATTGATCTACTCACATTTGCATGTTTTCAAACTGTTAGGTTGGCAGAAGCTAGGGCTGACAGCGGAAGCTCACGCCGCTCCCCGGAGTTCGATCAACAAGCTCAGCAGCTCAGAGCTTTAACCCACTGCGCCACCGGGGGCTCCATGTGGGATAGCCATGTTTAAATATTTGAAAGGATGTCACTGTGAGGAGGGGGCAAGCTTCGTTTCTGCTGCTCTAGAGACTAGGAGCAATGGATTCAAATTGCAGGAAAAGAAATTTGATGTAAACATCAAGAACTGACTGTAAGAACTGTTTGGCAGTGGAATATTCTGCCTTGGGCATGGTGGGGTTTCCTTCTTTAGGGTTATTTAAGCAAAGGCTTTATGGCCATCTATCAGGAGTAATTTGACTGTATATTGCTGCATGCCAGGGGCTAGACCAAATGGCCATGGTGGTCTTTTCCAACTCTGTGATTCTATGATCTTCCAGGACTCAAAGTTTGGCTGCAATTGTATCTTCTCCATGGCTATTCAGTATTATTTATTTATTTAAAACATTTATATTCTGCCCTTATCACCCCGAAGGGGACTCAGGGTGGAGCACAACATACAAACGACAAACATTAAATGCAAGTGCATAAATAGATTCTACACATACATAAGCATTAAAAATATTATTTTGACACTACAAAATACTGTTTCGCCGTCTCAGTCATCCAGAACCAGTCTAGTTGGCATAGTGAGATTTCTTATTGCAGTCTTATTGCACTGTCCCAAAAGCTTGGTTTCACAGCCAGGTTTTTACCATTCTTCCAAAGGACCGGAGGGAAGAGGCTAATCAAATTTCACCCGGAAGGGAGTTCCATAGCCGAGGGGCAATCACTGAGAAGGCACTGTGACAGTGGCAGGATGGAGAGCGTGGCCTCGCCGGAGGATCTTAATCTCTGCAATGGCGATTAAGGAGTTGCATTTGGACAGGTATTTTAAGGAGACTGGAGAAGGGTTTGGATGTGTAACCATATCCAGTCATAGACCAATGACAATCTGCTGAGATCCAGGTCTTGACAGATACTATAACCATGCTTCTCTTATCTCCCTATCAAAAACCAATGCCCGTGAAATGGGGCATGACTGAATAAATTGTGAGTCTTGGCAGAGGAGTGTGGCTTTGATTGTTGGGGAGAGAAGAAGAGAAAATGGTGCACCCTTGGTATCCACTAGATTTTGGTTCCAGAACTGCCACTTCTCTCTGGATTCCAAAATCTGTGGATGCTCAAGTCCCATTATATACAATGACATATATAAAGTGGTATAATCAAAGATTTGGATTTTAGGTTTGTAAAAAATATTTTCAGGCCATGGACAATTGAATCTGTAGATTCAGAATCTTTGAAATTATTTTGAAAAGACATGAGTAGGTTTACATTGTATATGCCTATGCCTTTAACAGAATGCAATACAATAAATGTTATACTTGCCCTGCTTTCAGAGTGCATGACTGCTCCTGTACTGCTGTTACACATGTGTGGGCTTCTCTGTTCATTGTAGGGGTGAGAGTCAAATAGCATGCATAACAATAAAATCCAAGTGTGGATTCTTATTGTTCATCACATAAAAGAAAATAAGATATTCCAAGTGGAAGTCATCAATGTTTGCGTTGAAATTGCCACAGTGAATGCAGTTTGCAGAACTGCTGAAGATCTTCTCATCTAGTAATCATGCACTGCTGTAATCCCTGTGAATTTTAAACTGTTTACACCTTGAACATCTCTGCCAATTTACGACACATCCATTTTCCCCTGGTGATAATGAACTTTCCTGTCCCATTTTCTTTCTAGCAGCCCCTAAGATATCTGTAGTATGTCCTTAATATGTTCCAATTTAAAGTATTGGTTTCTGACATAGATCATCACATCTGGTTACTAGCCAGATGCTACAGATTAGTATAGGATGAATAGCACTGATACTAGCTAGCAATTGCAGCCCTGCTCTCTAAGCTTAACTGGGCTGGGAGAATTCTCTTCCTCATCATCAATTGTGCATAATGCAGAGGAAGAAATAGACGAGTGTCCCCAATAAAGCTGTCTAAAACAATGTAAATTATATTCCATGCTATACTCTTCTAGGATAGTGCAATGGTTTGAGTTTTTCAACAGGGCAGGGTGAGAGATCCTGGTTCAAGTCCTGCTGAGCTAAGAAATTCATTGGATGACATTGGCCTAGTCATCTCTTCTGTCCAGATCTACAACACTTCATTCTTTTGAGGGGGAGAAAGCCAGGAGAAAGAATGAAAGGCAATGAGTCTTGAGCTTATTGGAGAAAAGCTGGAATCTAAGTGTAACTAATAAAAATGTGGATGACCATTGCTTGTCTGGAATAACCCCCTAGCATTTGTCCTATCAGCAACATATTTTCTTCATCTATTAAAACCAATTGTCACTCTCAACAAAGTAAACTCACTGCATGAATGATACTTACACAAATTTTGATTTATCAGGTTCATGAAGCTTCAGTGGTTGGGACTTAACAATTGGATGTAAAAAGCTTTCATCAGCACTGTTCTCAGTTATGTTTAATTCTTCTCTGTGTTTCTTTTAAAACACTTAATGTGCATTAATCAATATATTAAAGTGGCAATTACTTAAAATTATGTCAGAACCTATCAAAATTCCAAATTAAAATTACAACCATATAATCTTTTGGGGGTGCTTTTAGCATTGTTTTTTTATACAAACTGCATGCAAAAATGGTAATCTGTTAGAATCCCATGCTTCTTATTTTGTGAAATGTTCATTTGGCTGCTGTAATGGATTGTGAATGACAGCTTTATTTAACGGAAAGTCTAAAAATTTAATTGTGTGTTTACTTAGACATAAGTACTGTTACATTCCATCCAGGGTAAACATAACCTTGTTGGGATAACCAATTCAAAAATGAATTTGGGAGCCACCAATGCGATCTACATATCTATGGGCCAGTTGTATGGAATGTGCAAGAATAGGTTTCCACTGTATTGCTCTTAGCTGAGCTCCTTTTACAGTAGCGTTATTCCAAAACAGCCCACTTGCTTGGCTGGTTCTGACAGTTCTGTTTAGTCTGAGAAGATTTTTTTTGTCCTGAGCCTATTAACATTTCCCAGTTATTCAGAGCCCCTTTCTGGAGTGTTCTGTTTATTTAATAACACTTACCGGCAGTAGGACTGGATCTAAATGGAACATAAACAACTAGTGTTTCTAACACTTCTCCTGACTTTTTGTATTCTGATTTTTTAAATCACTTCCTAATTCCTTATATTCCAATTGATAAATTTGATTCAATGAATGGTTTAAAATGCCATCAAACCTTGAGAGAGAGCACCACTGAACCAACAAATGAGAGATTATAGGAATTTAAATCCAACCACTTCTAAAGGGCCACAAGTTACCTATTCCTGGTACAAAGTATTTGTAGTTCCTCTGAATGCCTTGCGTCAATTACGTCTACTTCATGACTATCCCACTGAAGCTACTTTGAATTGATCCCATTCTGGGGTGAAAGGTGAGATATAAGTGCAATAAACAAACAAACAAACAGGTGTTGTAGAATATGCTAAATATGTTAGTGCTATCTATGTCACTGAGAAAAGCTATTTTTCCACTGTTATCAATATGATTCAGTCATAATATTTTATTATTAATAATATTCTTAAGAAATAAATACTGTACCATTAGATTGAAGCCTTGTGTTCTCATTCATAAACACATTTAAAATTTGTGGACTTTTAAGCTCATATTTTCTATATGACCATTGTCTAATACCAGCAATGCATAATCTATTCATCATACCTAATCATGAACATGCATTAGGCGGCCTTATAGGTATCATTTTTTCCTTTGACGTTCTTCATTTTAAGTAAACAAGCTAGGGTTTTTATGAATGGTGTTTCTATCCACACCTTTGTTTTTCTTTTTTTAAGCCTAGCAAATAACTCCTAACCACAATGTTATCCAGAAGAGAGAGTCAAGTATGCAGCGGTCTTTCACAATGTAACCTTCCCCCTCTTTTGTTACTTCCATGTATGAGATCATGTGCAATTAAATGCCATTTTGCCCATAGAGATTTAAGATTAAATTCCTTTCATGCTGCTGTCATTTTAGAACTTCATCACAAACGTAAAACATGGTGTCTCAAGTCTCATTCAGAGAATCGGTTTATGCATTATGTATGCATAGTCCAGTTGGGTAAACGATTTTGTTGGCTTGGAAGCCTTAAGAAGATTTTTTCATGATCCAATTCAGTGTAGATACCATTGCAAATTATAATTGGTAGCACAATCCTTGCATGTCTATTCAGATCTCACTAAATTCAATGGTATTTTAATGTGTTCGAGAGTGCTGTCTCAATAATTTTACCATATAGAAGAAAATGCACATATTTATTGAGCAAAGA